GACGCCGACACCGCCGGGCCAGCAGCTGACGCCCGACGCCTTCGCCATCGTGGAACGGGCACAGCAGATGGTGGAGATGCTGTCTGAGGAGAACCATGTGCTGCGGCAGGAGCTGGAGGGGTACTATGAGAAGGCAGACAAGCTGCAGAAGGTACGTGGAGGGGTGGATGGGGCCTAGGCAGTGCAACCATCTTGGTGCTTCTGCATTTGGGTCCCCCAAGCTGTTCTTCATAGTCACATCACTGCAGTGGGGTGCACCAGTGGCCATCTCTAAGCGTTGCCTCTCCATGGTGGTCTGCCAGAACTGTAATCCTCTGCCCCAAGGCCCATGGGCTCCCCTTCCTCTAGGGGAAAACAGAGCAGCTCATCATATGTGCCTCAGTTGGGGATTTTCACCTTCCACGCTGGCCTCACTGGAGCTTTCTCTGGAAGTCTCCCATGGACAGAGTCTGCTCCTGGGGCAGCCACGTCCTGCACCATCTGTACAGGCAGCAGAGTTGCGGGTGAGAAGCATGGCCACATCTGTCCAGATTGGTCTTGTTCACCACAATACGCTCACATAGTGCTTCACGCTCTTTGGAAATGTAACAGCTGTCAGTGGTGGTGTCTGTTGTTTGGACATGCGTTATAGTTTGGTTGTCTCAGATGCTTTCAGTCACCGCTCTATGGGTTTCTAAGAGCCGATGTTAGACACTTCAAAAAGCACTGCCGCCTTATCCGAAAGAACCATTTGGTAAAGATTTTGTTCAAAAACCCTTTTACAAAGAGATCCTGCACCTTTTCTGTATGCAAGTGTGGCATTTTCAGTGGAGAAGGATGATGTCTCCTGCACTGCCCAGTGCGACAAGATGAAGAGTCAAATCAAATCAGTAGAAATTGCTTAAAAATGAGAGCTCCCTGAAGGCAATGCAGAGATGCTCCTCAGATCTGCTGGCTTTAAGTCCCAAGGGCCCAGACCAAACGAATTACTTAGGATCCTACACTGCTGTTTCATTTATGTCTTCCCACCACTTACACATAAATTGGCTTAGGCTGCAGGTATTTTCTCTCTCAATTTAGGAGTCTAAATAGGAGTTCATTTTTTTCTGTGCTGTGTGGGATCAGGGTGTTCTTGGAGAGACCCTTCACAGGAGGAGAGGCAGCTCTGAGAGAGCATGTCCCAGCCTCAGCTTTGGGGAAAATCTGTGACCAGAAAGTTCAAACAGGTTAGAAAAAAGACGTGTTGTTTTGTAGCTGCTGTCATCTTTGCAGTCTCCTTCTCGGCAACCAGATGAGTTTATTCACAGAATTTCCTAAACTTAGTTGAGAAATTTTTGTAGTAATATGTTAACTATTTGTGAAGACGTCTGCAAAGATTTTAACGCTGACTTCCCTGTGGCCTTTGTGGGCAAAAAGAAATATTCCAGCTATTAATTTTACAAAAGCTCCATTGTTCAGTAAAAGGTATTTGAGTGTGATGCCCTAAAAATATTCCAATTTCCTTTTACACTCTTGGAAACAGCTCTCTCTTTATCTTGGATGCCCTGCAAGTCGATTGCATCAGACACCAACAGAAAGGTATTCAAGCATGGGCTGAATTCTCACTTCAGTCAACAGAGTGTGGACTTGAGTCCCATTGACTTTGGGGGTATGTAAGCAGAGTATTAAAGTGAAAAACATGCTCAAGTGCATTCTTTCTTCAGGAAAATGTCCCGAACTCAAAGCCTTAACCCACAGTATCCTTCCCATGCTGTTTTTTTGTGTTTGAACACAAGGACAGGACAGATCCTCCTCTGTTCCCACAGTTTCAGCTGAACATCACCTCTGAAAACGTGACAGTGAATTAAATTACATACTTTGGATGTGAAAACTCTTCCCTCTTGTTGGAAGTGGAAGGGTCATGAGGAGTACTTCTTGTTTGTCTGTGTGTAACAAGTTTATTCTAGGTAGGGCCACCTTCCCATCATTTTTACCATTATGGAATAGGAGAAGAAATTACAGAAAATCAGCTTGATGTGGAGGGCTCCCGGGGCGTTCGTATGAACAGATCAGCCCTGAGGGTTGTCAAGTTCTCAGTTGTGTCTGAACAGACTTTTTGCAGAGAGGTACAAGGTGCTGATTAATCCCTGTGCTCTTTGACAAGTTGTCTGGTTTTCTTACCTAAAAAGAGTTGGAGGGGAAGAAGGCTTGTACACATTTTATTTTGAGCTTTTTTTTGCAAAAGTGAAGCGTTACTTTCTGGTTTTGGGGGGTTTTTGCTGTTGTTTTTTGTTGAGTGGTGTTACCTTGCTGAAGTTTAATTGCCAGGCTGAGCTGGCTCTTCCCCATGCCATGTCTGTGCGTTATTTGAGTGGGTTGGCTCTGGGAGCTACCAGGAGGAGAAGAGGCTGAACTGTTTTTTTCCCCACCATAGGAGAAGGGGAGGGAAATCCCAGAGCTGCTGAGAAATGCCGACACAATTTATGGCTGTTCTTCTGCTCCCCTTTAATTTTGTTCAGTGGTGATGGAGGTTCTTTCTTTTCCTGCCTCCGGGGCTGCAGGAGACTTGCGTGATGATATGTTTTGGGAAATAATGGCAGATAATGGGCAGAACAGAGCCCTTGTGGTAATCAGCAGCATTGGGCAGGACTGTAGGGCTGTGGAAGGCCCCTGCCATGTTGGCAAATCTGCTTTGCTGTGGTAGGAGCTCTCTAGAGCAGGCATCTTCTGCAGATAGCGGCTCACCTGGGAGAGGAAAGGTGCGGGAGCCAGTGGTGTCAGGGCACCCAACTGAGCACAGTGTCCAGTTGGGATCATGTAGTAAGGATTCAGGAAAGTGCTTTAAAAATTATTTTTGCTAAGACAAACCTTTCTTTCAAGGAGAGAGAAGCTCAGTCTGCTTAAATGATCAATGAGAGCAATGTGAGGTAGCTTGAATATAGCCTCTAACTACTTATAGGAAGAGAAAACTTTTGCTAGTGGATATCACACTGATCTAAAGAAAAAGCTGTAACAGAATCAAGTAGCTGAAACTATGCCGTTATTGGAGTAACTCATGGACGTGTCATTTTGATTATGGAAAATTCACATGAAACAGATTTTTGATTGTAGGTCATAGGCATAAGATAGACTATTTCAACTATTTCAGTTGGAACGGACCTACAAGGATCATCTAGTCCAACTACCTGACCAATTCAGGGCTGACCAAGTTAGGGCAGTGCCCAAATGCATCTTAAACACTAACAGGCTTGGGGCATCGACCCCCTCTCTAGGAAGCCTGTTCCAGTGTTTGACCACCCTGTCGGTAAAGAAATGTTTCCTAATGTCCAGTCTAAACCTCCCCTGGTGCAGCTTAGAACCATTCCCACACATCCTATCACTGGATACCAGGAAGAAGAGCTCAGCACCTCCCTCTCCACGTCCCCTCCTCAGGAAGCTGTAGAGAGCCATGAGGTCACCCCTCAGCCTCCTTTCCTCCTAACTAGACAAACCCAGGGTCCTCAGCTGCTCCTCACAGGACATGCCTTCCAGCCCTCTCACCAGCTTTGTTACCCTCCTCTGGACACATTCAAGGATCTTCACTTCCTTCTTAAATTGTGGGGCCCAGAACCACACACAGTACTCCAGCTGATTTTCTCAAGAAAGTTCAGACTTTTTGATGAGGCTTTGTACAAGGTCGTGTTGCCATGCATATAAGGAAAAATAAAACTTTTTGAACCATAGTAAGGTTCAGTCTGAATTTCAAACAGGTTTGGATTTATGCAGCGTTCCTCTGAGTGTGCTGTCCTCGCGGTGGGAACACACTCGGTGTCTGGGCATGCATCAGCAGGGTGGGGAAGAAGGACCTGCTTTTCTAGATGTGGTTAGGGAAAACGTAACGGGGCTTCCTGGAGCTCCTGCTTTAAAAAAACAAAATGTTTTGTTTGTCAGAATAATCTGACTAAGTTTGTAGTTCACCCAAGAAGGAGTGTCATAGCGTGGGATACAGCCAGTTCAACAGGTCATCCTCTTCTTGGAGCTGTGGAGAATTATCAGCTGAGAACTAATCTGCATATGGTGCCTTTTAATGTCATGTATGTAGGGGAGCAGCTTGTATGTGTGTGAAATACCTGCGAGCTGTTAAATCACACCAGTGTAAGATAGGTGATGTACTAATCCAAAGCTGCTGATGTCACTGGGGCCGCACTGCAGGCTTTGCACATCACCACTTGTTTCAGCTTTTGTGCCTGAGCAAGCTGAAAGCAGAAACTGGGGAGAGAACCGCGCTTCCCCATCATGGCTCTGCCAGGCCTTCCTCACTGTGTGTGGTTTGGAGGTGCCGCGTGCCCACAGCCTGTATCCAGATAGTGGCCCCGGTATCATGGGAAGCACAGGTCCAGGCTGCTGGAGCCTGGCTGCAGGTTCCTACACAGACAGCAGGGTGACAGCTCCAGCATCCCTGGAGCTTTTGTTCTGCAAGTGCTGCAGCTGGCTAATTACACCTAAAGCTTAACGAGCCCTGGAGAGGGATCTACCTCCACAGCAAGTGGAGGTGGGCTCACACCCTGGCTTCACAAATCACTAATCCGTCCCACCCATGATTCAAGAGGCTAAAAAAGCACCAGATTTAGAAAGGTATGTGGGAGGCTATATATATCTCTTGGTTTTCCAGCCTGTGCACATTATCAAGCTTTTCTCCACAAACACAAGGGCTAGGCATGCAGGAGCAGATTCCCACATCGGTGTTAATCATTCCTGCAGCAATGATTTCAGCAAAGCACTTAACAAGACATTAGTTTATTAAAAGAGCTGGATTGGATTGACCTGAACAGCAAAACTCTGCCTGGAACTATCCTCCTGTCAGTTTTTTGAGTTTGGGTCTTAAGATGTAAGTTCACTGCTGAGGGCTTCCTTTGCATCCTTTGCCTGCAGTTAGCCAGATTTAAAGGAGATGAAGTTAACAAGATTGAAAACCCCAAACGATTGGTTTAGTTTGTTATAGTTTCTTTTTGTATAGAGCAGTGTTTGGTCAAGGATGGAAGGGGGTGGACCACAATAGTTTGACTAACGTGAGGTCAGAGCCGAGCATAAAGCTTTTTTGGTGGCACGCAGAGCTTACAGCTAATCTAAATGGTGGCTGGTGTGGCATTTGGCATGGGCATTGCCCCAACCCCTGCACCCCATCGAAACACGCTGGGCAAACACTGGGATGGGATGTGCTCCTGCTGGGCTTTAACAGAAGCTCTCTCTCCTTCAGTTTGAAATAGAGATTCAGAGGATTTCAGAAGCTTATGAGGGCCTGGTCAAGACCACCACTAAGAGGGAGTCTCTGGACAAAGCGATGAGAAACAAACTTGAAGGAGAAATTAGGAGACTTCATGACTTCAACAGGGATCTCCGTGGTATGTTACACTTGCTTCTGTCATTTTTTTTTCCCTCCGGTTGACATAGTGTTCCACTTCTTACAAGCTCCAGAGTAGCAGGCTTTAAAGGAGTGGGTTTTAGATAAACTTGTTGAGAAGTCAGGCCCTGCTCATTGGCATAAGACAAAACTGCTGTCACCCCTCCCCAGCTGCAAAGAAACCTTCTGGCAAAATATGAGAGACAGCTTCAGACAGTGCCTTTGACTGTGACTTTGAGCTATTACCTGTCCAGGTGCCTGATGGGAGTACTTTAATATGTCTTTGGGCAGAGAGATGCCTTCTGCAAGCTGGCTCATGCTTTTTGCAACAGTGCGAGGGGGCTGGATGATCTTTTTGGAGGAGGGAGGCAGGCCCTTCCCAGGGGAAATTGTTCCCTGCTGCAGAAAACTGCTCTTTTCCCAGGGTGTCCCCAGGGATGGGTGTCAGCAGGCTGGGGGCTGCCTTCCCCCATGGTGTCTTGCTATGCCAGCGGCCGCACGTCACTGCGGAAAGACACCCTTTCCCGTGCAAAAGCTAGGTAATTCAGGTTGCAAATACCTCGTGCGTTTTGGACAGCGTGAGAAATGAACTGCTCGGACACATCAGCTATGGATGGCAGAGGCTTTTCCCCCAGTTTCTGTAAATCTGAATGACACAGCTTCATGGAAGAGGTCACAGGCCTCATCTTTTATGTATGTGTCAGCCTCCATTTTAATGTCCTCCTTCAGAGAGTCTATTTATACTGCTCTGCTGGCATGCATCTTATTTTCTTGGTTGGTCTACAATTTTATATACATATATTTATACTTAAAGTATTTCCTGTTTTTTGCAGAACGACTGGAGACAGCCAATAGGCAGCTAGCCAGCAGAGACTTCGATGGGCATGAGGATAAGTCAACAGAAGGCCTTTATGTCACTCAGAGTGAGTACTGTGCTAATCTGTTTTGAAGGTGCATATATATATATATGCACACATATATATGTGCTGGAGTGGAGGTGAATACTTTGCTATTAATTGTTATTGTCCTTATGGCTTGGTTTCACTCAGCTAATTTGCCACATATTCTTATTTAAGCTGCAGACTGGATTGTTTATGCTGGTTTTTTTTCTCTCTGAGCACCAGAACCAGGCAGTGGGAGTTAATGGTAACACAACTTAGCTTATTTTTGATAAATATTTATCTGAAATTATGAAGTATTGCTTGCGGGGATCATCTCTGGAGATGCATGCTTTTTAGAGAAGCCAGATTCTTCTCTTGGCTGGGATAAGCCCAGAGCAACCTCTGCTGACTTGTTGTCAGTGACAGGTTGGCCAATGTGAGGCAGAGCAGAGGTGGACCCTCCTTTTCACAAATGATGGAAGAGAAAGATTTTACAGCTTCTACTGCTATGAAAAACATCCATTCCTGTCAAGTTTTAGGCTCCCGTAATGACTGAGCACAGTGCTGCAGCATTTCTCTGCCACGTGCTAACAGCTCCCTGTGACCAGCCAAACCAAAACCTGAGCACCTGGATGTTGCGTGACAGCACGTGGCTTCTCATGTATCCTGAGCATCTTCAGCATGCTTCCAGAAGGGCTTGACCATCTGGGAGCTGTGCAGTGCCTTGCGGGCTTAAATTCCATTGAAGCTAAATGCTGCGTACAACCGATCCTTCTGTTTTATTTATTGCACCAAGAGCTTCCTTGGAAGATGAGCTGCAACTACAAATCCTTAGGTGGAGAACTGGTCACCTCCGTTAGTAGTTGATGCCACTCAGCATGCCTCACTGGTGGCCCTGCAACATCCACCAGCTCCTCCAAATGCAGGAGAGCCTTTTCCTTGCTCCCACTAGCAGTGATGATGCCAGCACCACAACTTTGCTGATGATTTGGTGCATATGTGCACAAACCAGAAGAGAATCTAATGATCCTTTCCGTGACTCTTAGCTTTGCCATATTAGCAGATGCCACAAGGGCGTGTAGATACTGCTGCGAATCCAAGAGTATGATCTGTTAAGAAAATAGCATTGCTATGTAAGTCTTGTCATCCTTGGGAAGAGTTCAAACAGGGTAAGCTGCACAGTGCAAATTGCAGACTGGGGTCTGCTTCTTCATATAGAGAGAGCCTGGCAGTGTTCCCATATGCTGGTAGCTACAAGGGGGGAGTTAAATCCCCAGGATGGACTCAATTTGAGTCATTTTCCAGTGCACAAACATGCTCTGTGCTTCTACTGATAAATATCTAGCAATAAAACTTGGTGCTGTGCACTCAGCATATTACTGCTATCAATTCACAGCTTATGAACAAATATAGCTTCTCGGATCCTATCACATAAGATGGGCTGGATGCTTGGAGTGTCTCCTGGCTAGGCCGGAGAGCTAAATGTTACCAATGCGATGCAGAGTGCTTCCAAGAATAGAAAAATGAGCACATGTAAAACAGGTCCTCTTCAGTCATGTTCTTTGGGCAGCTGGGGCACATGCAGTAATGACCTCGATATCAGAGTATCGGCCTGAAACACCTCTCTGAGAGCCCATAAAGAGTTTTACTTGGAAATCCTCTGCTGGTTACTGCGTTTGTACACTGATGTTTGTGGGTCTTCCCCACGAGTGGAGTGTGACTGGGGTTGCACCCCACTGCCAACCTGGGGGTTTTGCAAGCAAGGTCTCTACCCTCCTCGCGTCTTTTGATGGGATGCTCAGGCAGAAAACTGAGAGGAGAAGGGATGCAGCTTGTTTTAGCTGCCGTGTGTACACTTGTCTACTGAGACTGAAATAGTCATTTTTAGAAGAAGAGAAAAAATGGTGCCTACATGCGCTCCCATCAGCTGCTGCAATTTTGTCGTGAAACTCAGATACGTTTTTTTCCTAAGGGTAGAGGCTTATTAAGTCAAATTAGTAAATGCAAATCTGAGCTTTCATTAGGAAAGCAAAAGTAGATTTCTAGTCCCTACATTTATGGAAAACAGCCTGAAAACATGACCCTTAACATCCCCAACCCAAGTTATATAAAAAGACTCCAACATCAGCAGGTTCTTAAAAGTTGTCACTTGTAAGCCAGTCTCATCATGAGATGAAGAAGTAAAGATAAAACTCATGAGGTTTTTTTAACACTCGTCCTTGGTAATACTGTGAACACAGAATTAATACTGTGGTAAAACTCCAGTAATAGGAAAAACTCCCTGAAAAAGAAGTCTGGCAAGGCAGGATGTGCAGGAATCATGTCTGAGATCCTCGCAGAGCTCTCCAGTGCAACAGTGCGGAGCGGTCGTGCGCGCTGAGGTGGAGACCAGAGGTGACAAAAACACTTATTCTTTGTAATAATAGTAGACAAAGCCAGGCTGCATGCCTCAAAGTATTAAGTGCTAGGCATTTGTGCTGAAGAAAAATGCTACTGTTGTATCAGGGGTAGGAGAGAACTCACAGCCTATTAGTTTCATGATAATTATGTGATGTTTTGTCAGTGAAAAAGGTTCTTTTGAGGAAAGACATGAAACAACGACTGATGAAGGCATATGGGCCCACACAGGCGAGAGAGGAGCCAGGCAGGAGGAGGCTGAGAAATGTTGTGGAAAGGGAGAGGCAGGAAGAGTGAGGATGGTTTCAAGGGCATAGGGCAGAGAGAAAGCTTATGATACAGCATATCATGGGAAAAATTTGTTTTGGTGGAGTCAGAGTATTTTGTGTGTTTTTCTGGGATTTCTGGACTAACAGACATTCCATCAGAGCAGGGGTTCCTCCAAGGGACTGTTTTTTCAGGTGTCCGAGGCAGATCGAGGTCTGCACCCATCCACGTGGCTCTACATCCATCAGTGGGGATGTGCAGACAGTTTTGGCTGTGTGTTCGTAGAGCCTCATACTTTGTGGGAGTGTGCAGTGGCTGTGCCGCGTACGACTTGTGCATACATCTCTGTCCCAGACATCCCAGGCAAAGAAATATTCCCATCAAATGAATCCAACCAAGGAAAATGCTCACAGTGGATGTTTTTGAGAGTGGGGCAGACTAAGAGCCATTCGGAATTAAGACAGGAAATAATCAGGGCAGAGGCAGAAGTTTCAGGGGCAAGTAAAAGGGACCTCCTTGCCCTCTCATTTCACAGCCATGAGCTGCATGTGGGGAGGTGGGGAGCCACTGCCCCCCTGCACCCAGAGCCAAGGACACCTGCGCATGGAGCAGCATCCTGAAGAAACAGTGTCTTCTAGAAAAATGCGTCTGTTCTGCCTGACTTCCCCCTGCCCTCCGAAGGGAAAAGGAGTGGGAAATCTGACTTCAGTTTTCAACACGTGAAGGTCGAATTCTGCCCTAATTTGTACCTCATGACACGTAAACAGAAGTGTCGTAACTGTAAATCAGACCATGCTTAAATTGCCTGCAATGTTTTGTAGGGTAAGGAAAGCCAGTGGAGATTCAGTAACTTCCTCTGACAGAGCGTCAAACCTTTCTGCATCCCTGCTTAGGTCGCTGACCACAAGTAACCATGTACCGAACCATTTATTAAGTAGGTTACAACTGATCATAATTATTAATGGCAGTGCAGAATCCCTGTTAATTACCATGTGAGAAAACGGACTCAGGGACCTTGAGCACAACCTCCTGCAACTTCTTGATGGTGATGTGGTCGAAACTCCAGAGAGCTGTTGGGAATGTGCTGTTTGTGAGCGAAACTACGGGAGGAGAAGACTGCAGTGGGCTGTGTTGGTGTTTGGCTGGGACACAGGGGTTAATGGAGCCGCTCCTTGTGAAGCGTGCAGGGTGACCTGTGCTATCTACGATGTAGTGTTTGGTTATGAGTGGCTTTGAGGGCACACTCATTCAACTGGTATAGGTAAATGGTATGTTAAAAACATATTTATTGTTTTTCTTTCAAGACCGATCAGATCAAAACCTTCAGTTAAGCGTGAGGTCTGTGTGAAAACCTGGGGTTCACATCTGAGTATAGCGGAGGGGGGCAGCCACGGAGTGTATCTTTCTGCCTAATGTTTCTGCTTCAAAGGAGGGCCAAGACCGGTCTACTTTTGGTGTACCTACCCAGCTTGACAACTCAAAAAGCCTGTTTGCAAAGCACCAAAGCAGGCTTTTGGCTTTACCTCCTCTTTCTTCTACCCAGCCACAGAGTATCAGTGTAATGTCCTCATTGTGTTGAGGTACAACAGTCAGAGGCAGTGGATGGAAAGCTGTGAAATAACAACTGTAAACTGCAGCTAGAGAAGCCTCCTGGGGACTGTTCAGTAATGGGATGTAGCAGTGACCTACCAGAAAATAGAAATAGTTACTAGCTGGAGTCTGTTAGGTAAAAAGCACATGCCTGGGCAGAAGGTACATGCAAGTGTAGCACAGTAAAACAGTATTTTTAGACTTTAAGGATACCTGTATGTACTTGAAGAGAATTTAAGGTATGTTCAACAGAGACCAAATGAATGCAATATGGGAAAGTAGTTATAAAATGTGCCTCCAGCATTTTGCAGAGGGAAGCTGACATGGAGAAGTGATGAGAGCTGTTAAGTAAATTTTTCTTGTCAGTTTTCTAGTGGGTTCAGTGGTCATTTTGTGTACAGCATAATCTTGTCCTCCTTTTACGGGGGGATAGAAAATGTAATGCAGCAGAGCAAGTTGAGTGCTTCAAGTTCCTCAGATGAAAGTTAAAAGTGAAGATCTCAAGTCCTGTTTTTCTATGTGCTGTCCTCCTATAATATGGGTTTCAAATCTGGAGCACAGCAAGTGCGGTCCCAGCATGAGACAGCGACGTGTCACAGGGCTGAAATAGCATTCCTCTTCTAGCTTCTTCACCCTCTAATGAAATTAGCTGCTTGATAATTTGTCCAGATTTACACTTTTGTTCCTTCTGGTGAATCTGATTGAAGTAAATGTCTTTGTGTTGAAGGAAGGGACCTACATGTCCAATATAAAATTTCTTGCTGATGTGGGAAGGTTAAGGCCATGTCATACCAAGATGGCTCATGATCATACCAAGATGGCTCGTGGTGGCAGTCAGTGGCGCAGTGTGCACAGCGCTTGCTGAGCTTTGCTCATGGGTTTTGCAGAGGCCAATGTGCTGGTGTTGCTGCCATGGAATGTTTTTGTGAGGTGCTGAATTCCTCCTTTTAGGATAAATGGGAAGCCGGCTGGGTGGGTTTGGGCTCACCTTGGCCACTTGTGCCTTTTTCCACATGGCTCAGCTCAATCTCATCTCACCTCGCTGCAGGCACCTATCGGTAGTGTCTAAATTAAACCTGTTCTCATTCCACCTGTAATTAAGGAAGAATAAGGCCCTTCTGGGGGTAGTTCAGGTCTGAATTTGGCTGGCTTTGGCCACGTGAAGTTTTCTGACCCTCCTCGAGGAAAGGTGGGTGGTGGGGCTTCCAGCTTGAGTGGTCACACTTGGGTGGGATGGGCTGTATATTAGGGGCAGATTTTCCATGTTTCTAAGTTTTTGGAGCAACTTTTCAGTTAAAAAAACTAATAAATTCTGTAATGCTGTGTTTAAAAAGTAAAAATCAAAACAATATTTAATTGATGCCAAATTAATTTTTGGAGGAAATTTTCCTTCCTGAGGGCTTGCCAAAGTGCTCCATTTTTGTTGTCATTCAGAAAGAAGGCCAGATTTTGAAATCTCAGATTTCACTGAATGAAACCTCCATCCCATGCTCCCTCCAATCATTAACTCTTTGCGATCCGATGTGGGGAAGCCAGTCATCTGCCCGTGATGCTCGTGCTCTTTGAAATGGCTTCTCAGCGCTCTCAGGGCAGAGGTTGATGGAGCCGAGCCTTTCCCCAGGCGGCTTGCCAGTGAAGTCAATGGTGGGCCTGCAATTTGTTGCCAAAGAAAAAGATGTGAGCAAAGCTGACTGAATTTAGCGAGTTTGGGTTTAACATCATTGTAAATCTGATCCAAAAAAAGGGATGCTTTTTCAGCACAGAGGTTGTCTACATGTTTTAGTCTCACTCCTGATGCTTTAAAGTGCTTAATAAGGGAGAAGCACTGATTGCTGGACCCTTAGAGGAGGACTGGAAAGTCACCCAGGGGCCCCACAGGGTTGGAATGCCTCCCACAGCCTCTGTTTCTCTGTATGGCCAGAGAAAGCCTGTTCAGATGCCTCCTATCTTATTCTTCATTATTGCTTTCCCCTCTTTCCATTTTCAAGCTGTCCAGCACAGATCTGTGTTTATTATTTGGCTTCTTCACATGTTCTGTATCTCATGATCTCCATCCTTAAAAAAAAAGAAGTACCAGGCACACCACAGCCTGCATTCACATGGCTGAGGTTTCTTGAACCTTAGAGGAGGACATCAGAATCCAAGCTGGCAGCTATAAACAGTCCTTGACGTAGGCTGTCCTCAAGCAGGGCCTGGGCGTTGCATAGGAAAGGAGTAGCTGCTGCACGCCAAAATTTTGCTGGGGAATGTGCTAGTAGTTCAGCAGAATGGACAATTATGAGGCAGTGCTTGGGTCCACAAGCTCTGCTAGTGCAGATGCAGCCCAAGCTGCCACTCATTTCTGCTGCAGGCGTTCGTGTAAGGCCAGGCATTGAGGGGCTGAGCCTTGGCAGTAGAAAATCCTTGCCTGCTGTGTCTCAGCACTGTGTTGTATCACATAGTTTTTTCTTTTCTAGGGACATGGCAGCTTACCTCTGGCACATGGCCCAAGGCCTGTGAGCTGTCCTCCTGGAGCAACTCTTGTTCTTGTCTTTGTTCCAGACAAAGAGCACTTGAAGGAGAAGGAGAAGTTGGAGATGGAGCTGGCAGCTGTGCGCTCTGCCAATGAGGACCAGCGGAGGCACATTGAAATCCTCGACCAGGCCCTAAACAATGCGCAAGCCAAGGTCATCAAACTGGAAGAGGAGGTGAGGCATGGCCAGTGTTTCTCTACTCTGAGGCTAGTGGTGGCTCATGGTTAGGGCTTTCTCCATCCAAGCCCTGAATCTCTTCTAGCCATGATGTGGCAGGTCTTCCTGCTCCCCTTGCACTGGCCCTGTTAAAGAGAAAATGCATAGTTATTCAATACTGAGCCAAAGAAGCAAGCAAAGTAGACCAGAACCACAGATGTTTTCAGAGCAGAGCCTTCAACATGTAACCAGGAGCAACACAAAACTCAGCTAACTGGTGGCTGAGGTAATGGTAGGACTTAACAGAAATATCAAATAAAAAGCTGATTGCTCACTGGCTTGGGACTGGCATACAAACATGTGATGTTGGTGCATCACATTTCTCCTCAAAGAATGCCAGGAGACTTTTGAGATGTGCACAATAGTGCACAACTTGGTAACTTTGCATCTGAACAGTGGTCTTAAAAGAACTGACTGATCTGGCTGGAGGCAGACCTTCCAGGATTTAGAGCTACAAAGAGCTACAGGTTTTATGTGAGAGCTGGAAAAAAACCTATCATACCATGGCACCCAAGAAGTGCTATCTGTGCAAAATCCCCAAGAGGTCTTTAAGGCTCCTGTAAACCTGATAGTCAAAACATGTATTCAGATGGGAAGAGAAACCTCAGGAGCAGGGGGCTCTTCAAACTGACAGACAAGTACAGAACAACATCTAGTAGCTGAAAGCTGGAGTTACACAAATTCAAAGCTCAGTTTTAACTAGAACTAAGAGTGATGTCAGGTCTTCATTATTGGAGGTCCCTGAATTTCAATTTATTTTGTTCCTTAAGATCTTCAACCAAAAGATGTGGATTTAATAACTAGCTGAAGGTCTACATACTCTGGCAGATCAGGCAAGACTGTCAAAACAGGCCTTTTTGGCCCTCAGATCTCTAGCCCTGTGACCAACAAAGGGGGAGGATGTTTTGTGGGGAATAAAATAAACATAATCTTTACTATCTGAGCGGGCAGGCCGTTGGTGAGGAGAAGGATGCTCACCTAGCAGGTTTGGGTAGAGGTTCATGCTCTGGCACAGACTGCTGGCATGATTTTGGGCAGGTCTTTTCCCTTTCAGTGCCTCATTTCCCACCTGCACCCTCCCGTGGGCTGGCCTGGGGGTGAATCCACATGAGCCCGCTGGGTGTGAGGATGCAAGGGGTCTTGTGAGGAGCAGGGAAGGTCCTTTCTCAGATACCTGCAAGTAACTTAATTGTAGTTCATTGTCTTGGAAAGATGAAGGGTGAATTGACCTCAGTGATATTTGGATGGTTTTTATCAGGATATCCAGCATGACAGATCCCCTGTTAGGCTAAGTAACCTAGAGTTACTTAGAGTCTGGAAGATTTAAGGTACTGCATGTAAGTACTGAAGGCATTGCTGTTTTGTTCCTGACCGTTAAACCATTCTGACTTCCTGCTTAGAAACATTTAAAAACTCCATTTCCTCCGGTGGATACGCTCAGCAGCAAGACGAGGATCACATTAAGTTTAACAGCTCCTTTGTTAGTTAGACTAAAGCCTGCTCACCCTCCCAGTGTATTTGGGGCAGTCCCCCTGGGGTAGCTGCAGGAGCTAGCTTACCTTTAATCTGTACAGAATTCACTTGACACTGTTTGCCTTAAAGGCAACCAGAGGTTTTCTATTTGCATTTCATTACAAAGTGGCTGAATAAAGGAATGTTTTAGGTGGCAACACCTGTTCCTGCGTTCCCGGCATCATGCAGGGGATGGGAAGAAATACGTTTAGCTCCTGGCTGCTCCACAGACTGTCAGTGTGGTATTGGCAGGTAACATTGACTTGCTGAATACACACCGGTGAAGGCAGTGGAAACGTAAATGCAGATTTCCAGGCAGGTAGTGTAAGAAGCTACCCTGTGCCTGCTGGGTTCTAGTAAATACGTTTGCAGCCTTAGGGGTCTACCTCTAAGAGCTTTGCAGTTGCCAGCTCCTCATCTAGGCATCCAACAAAAATGTGCCTCTGCCGGGGATTGGAGCTTGGATTCTGGATTCTGGACTGGTGGAGCTGGGGAGAGGGCAAATGTTCCCCTCCAGAGAGCTGTTAACCTCCTGCCTGGGGCATGGTAGATGTTACGGAGGTAGAAACCCAGGGTAGGGTAGATCTCAGGGGTGACAACGTGGAGGTGATGCAACCGTATTTGCCAGAGTTTGTCTGTCAGAGCCCTCAGCCTGGGCAAACCCACATTGACCTGGTAGTGTTTAACTGTATTTTTCATTCTAAGGGAAGTTCAAATGAATTTTCTCCCAGCTGTGGTGGTTTAATTATTTAAGGCAATGTCATGCAGCTTGGGTGATGTGTGGTTAGTATGTGTCTGCTGGCATGTGCCCAAGCTCCTGTGCTCCCTTCCCCTTGCTTTTGGCCTGTATCGTCACTAAATCAGACCACCTTTTCAACAGCCACCAGTGTTTCTGGAACTCAATTTGACACTTATGTGGCAGATACCACTGAGGTTTTGAACCTTCATCTTAAAACAGGGATTCTTACTATAATTTGGGTTATATTGAAGGAAACACAAAATCATTCAAATGAAAATAACTATTGTTATTAATAGAGCTCTACCTCATGCACTGCTTTGTAAATCCACACAGATTTCTTTTACCACCAGAATGTAATTAAGTTTAAAAGCTTTTTAAATCAAGGCTTGAGAAATAAGCAGTAGCTACTAAGTTGAGTTAACATAAGATAACGCACTATGTAAATCTACATTATCCTGAGTGCGTGCTACTAGACAGATTTAATTAAAAAATATGTAGGTGGTATTATCACCACATGTCATTTAGGACACTGCTGCTGGAATCGTGTGTCTGGTCCACACTTTGGATAGAAGACTGAATAATTGGAGAGGGTTCAGAAAACAGCTGTAAAATTTATTTGGGGCCCAGAAGCTGTTCTTTGCTGTGAACAATTCAAGTGAAGAGGTGGCTGAGCTCCAGTCGACGCACATGGACATGGTGAAGGGATTGCTGTCAGCCAGATTAAACATTGCTCTTTAGCGTAAGAAAAAATAATTAGATGCAGTGTTTGGGGGCTGAGGCTGAGCAAATCAGGCCTGAAATAAAGAACTAGAGTAATTAACAGTGAAACAACCTACTTAGGGTGATAGTGGATTCTCCATCTCTTACAGTCTTTAACTCAAATCTCATATCTATAGAATATTCTACAGCTCAAACTGGAGCTATGTTCCTAGTGCAGATATTTTTCCAAGACCCACTTATCTTTACTCAGATTTATTTGCTTGGGTCATCCCCTTTTTAGCTTTAGCTCTTCTTCATCTTTATTTTCCTAATCCCTGGGACAAGGGCAGTGTTCAGGCAAGTTTGTTGATCTCGTGAATATGTGAATTGTTTCATTAAATGCTTCTTGCTCTAGTAGATCACAATTTGGAAACAGAACAAGAAGTAATTTGCTTAAATTGCATAAGAGAAAGCCAGATTAGGCATTAGGGTAAAAGTTTTCTGGCAGTAAAGGAAAATAAGTGAAGTAGTTTGCAGGGGGAGGTTATGGAGTCCCTACCCCTGGAGGGTTTTGTAAACAGATTATAGAGACATGTGCCAGGTTATAGGTAGACTTGATCCTACCTGGCAGTGGGAGGAAGGACTGGTACCTCTCCAGGTACCATCCAGCTTTTTTATTTGAGTCTGTGTGCCTGTGAGGTAGCGGAGCTTAGATTCATGTATTTCTGATTGCAGTCGCCCTCCCTTACGGATGCATGCTGCACTGACAGGCCCATTAATTTAAACATTTTGTACTTGTTTTTTAAATGTGTGGATGCATTTTTTGCTTATGAATCTACAGACAGGATAGAAAATTCAGTAGTGGCTCAAGAACCTCCCTATAAATTTATGAACGTGGGAACTGTCTTGTTGCGTATCTCCAACAAAATTGGTTTCTAAGGCAGCGGATGCGTGTGCATCGCCTCACCCGCAGTGACAGAGGTGCACTCATGCGTGAGTGTGTGAACCCTGGGGCATAGAGGGCTGCTGCAAAGCCAAAATCTTGCTGCTGTGTTATGGATGGACCCTCCAGCATCCGGCAGGACACAGGGGAGCAGATGAGGTCTGCTGCTGAGGAGGGACCCCTGGGGAGCCCCCTTCCCCTCTCTGATCCACGCCGGTGCGGCTGGGAGGTGGCACAGGCACCTTCCTACTGCCCAAATAGCACATTCAGCAAGAAGCCACTGCTGTGCCTGTCTTGCCAAGTTGTGAACTCCTGAGGAATGCAGTCTTCGTGCTGCTGCCAGAGACTAGTGGGGATTATAATCTCATTAATTTTCATGGAAAGCCCCGCAAGCCGTAAACGTTAGCTTGGATTACAGCAGGGCTAGGGAGGTCACACTGCCAGTTGTTGGCTCTGACTGCGGAGGTTTGTTTAGGCCAAGTTTTGCTTTTGCTGTGAACAAGCCCGTATTTCACTTCACCTGTGACATGGATAGATTTAGGGTGACAGAAGAGGGATTTCAAGAAAAAGTGATTTTATTGCCATTGTAATCAGTGGGAGGGAACCTAGATGAATCCAGCATCACACAAGGGAGAAAAAGCTTCTTTGCAGCATGGGAGTCTGGGCTAAGCAGAGGACCCTGGCTGAAGGGGAGCCCCACAGGGCCGCTGGGACCCAGCGCTGGTGTTTATTTGCTCCACATGCCCAGGAACGAGGCAGCAAGCTTCTCACTACATCCCCTAGGTATTTACACACAGATATTTTGTGGCCATTGTTCCTGTATCATAACCCACATGGCAGTTAATTTCAATAGTGATTTAAGTACATAAAAAAGAGGTAGGCACTAGGATGTGGTTTTGGCCCTGGCCTTCCCAGTTTGCAGCACCTCTCCAGCCTCTCTTCTTTAGGTACTTCCCCAGTGTCAGCTGGGGTTAATGAGTTTTTCTGCCTCCTGTTTTGCTTCTGAAAAACTTTAGGTCTCAAACAAGTGTACAAATAAATGAGGGAGACTAGAAGTTCTAAAGAGGATCTTCGTGATCATGGCAATGACCTTGAGCATTCCCCATTAACCCCCAGGCTGCAAATGGGGTCCGGCTGATGCTTGGCACAGTCTGCGTGATCCAGCATTCAAACAGATTTACTCTCCTTTTCTGAGTCAAGGAGTTAAGTCAAGAATGTTTTGAGGTCTTCTGGGGTTCATTGAAGTCTCTTGGGGTTTGCAGCTTCAGTTTCTGTGCACTGTTGCTTTCTCTACTACGAGGCAGATATCTTTAGAAAGGTGAATTTATTCATGCTCATGAAGAGAAAATCCATGACATAAGGTTGGGGAAGAAGAGGGGAACTGGGTTTCCCAAGGCCAGGACTGCAGCCTGTGGGGAGAACAGGAAGACACCACTGCCCCAGTCCCGTGGGCGAGTTTTGGGTCAGCGTCCACGCTCCTCAGGGATGAGGACTGCTTGCAGACACCCAGGTGTGCCAGGCCCCTGTGAGCTTGCCCCTTCTCAGTGCCTCTTCTCCCTGAGGGATCCCAAGCGTGCCAGCTGCTGCTGATCACAATACCCTGTGGTGTCACTGAGTGCCCGGTGGCATAGTAGAAGGCCAGAAGTGGGGAGAGCCACTAAGCACCCTGAACACCTGCAGTCCACTTGCAATTTCGGGTATGCTGCTTGAGCAATCTCTGCCCATATAACCCTGTATTGCAAAACCATTTGTGTCCTGTTTAGCCCTTCAATAATTGCATTATGTGCATAAGGAGGGCCTGGCTTTTGCTGCCAGCACATCTATACATTGGCATGGCCAAGCCCGTGAGCAGGGTAGAGCAGGTGCAGCACTTCTGGCTGCTGGCACTCCGCTTGTTCCACCTGCGTTGAGCAGATACACAGTGTTGAAAATAAGAGACTCTGGGTGCAGAGAATGTGCTGAGTGTCACCCGTCGATAAAACCCACAGGGATTCCTCTTAGCTGAGGCCAGCCTTTGTGCTTGCCCAAAGAGTATCCACCAACATGACTGGTCCTGCTTAGAAACGGCCAGGGAGTTTCATGGCCCAGATCCCCAATGGGTGGAAGATCTGGGCAGTGTTCCCTCTGAAAGGGGTCGAGCTGCCCCAGCGATGCCTGCTGTGCCCTTTCCCTGCCCATCAGATGGGCACCATCCTTCCCCTGGAGAAACTCTGCCAAACAAATGGCCAAAGCCATCCTTACACCCAATGCACATCTGCAAGTGCACGGGGGTCCCGGCAGCCCAGGGCGGGTGTGCGGTGTCCCCCTGGCAGTGCTGACCCCCTGTCCCCGCAGCTGCGCAGGAAGCAGGCCTACGTGGAGAAGGTGGAGAAGCTGCAGCAGGCACTGACGCAGCTGCAGGCAGCCTGCGAGAAGAGGGAGCAGATGGAGCGGCGGCTGCGCACACGCCTGGAGCGGGAGCTGGACTCACTGCGGATGCAGCAGGTGAGGACGGGGCGGTCCGTGCAGGATCCCAGCATGGGGCCTTTGGTGTTGCTTTTAAAGAGGGACAGTTGCTTGCAGCCCTGCCAGGCGTCACCTTGCTTTTGGGTTCAGGTCGTTGGGCTTTCCACTTAAGCCTTTCTTTTGGATGGGGTTGTGGGTGCCCCATCCCTGGAAGTGTTCAAGGCCAGGTCGGATGGGGCTTTGAGTCACCTGATCTAGTGGAGGGTGTCCCTGCCCATGGCTGGGGGGGGTGGACTTAGATGATCTTTGAAGGTCCCTTCCAACCCAAACCATTCTATGATTCTAACTCCTGATTTTCAGCGGGGATGGGGGAGCTCTGCAGTGGGGCTGCTGGACACAGCCGAGCTTTGGCTGCTGCAGGGCTGGGGGGGTCCTGGCTCCTCTGCGCAAGAGCAGGCAGGGCTCTGCCCCCATGTGTCCCCCCACACCTGCTGGGGGAAAACATCCCTCCAATTTCCCTCCAGCAGTCACAGATTGTGCAAGATCACCTCCACACTGAAGGAGGAGGGGAAAGGTGCAGTACATGTGGGCATGAGATCTAATCCACAGATTTTGGCTAATCTTTCATTGAAAAAGCGAGGTGGGATGATGTGGGATTTGGTGGGAGCAAGAGTGTGGGCCATGTTTGTTCTGGGCAAAGCTGATGTACGCCGTTCACAAAAATCTCTATCCATGACAGATCTGGAGACAAATGGTGTCATCTTCAGACAATAAATGATTTAAATATCAGTCCAGTCCAGAATGGGCTATAAGTGTAGGTTTGCATTTCTGTGTATGTCCCTTTGGTTTTTGGCAGTCCTTAGAGGGATAGTGTTATGCTTGTATTTTCTGTTACTTGTTATTCTTCCTCCATCTCCAAGTCCCAAAGTCCAGTCATCTGTGAAAAGGAAAAAAAAAAAAAAACCCAAAACCAAAAAAACCCCCCAGCCAAGCATGAGGAGGTTGCAGGGAAGATTTCCAGGCTACAGCCAGCACAGAGTGCCAAATACGTGGGCACTGGAGAGCAGATGTGCTAAGTGTATCAACCCGCTGCTTGGGGAAAAGCCAGCAACATAAGCAAAGCGTGATGCTCTTGTAACTCTTGAAGGGCTCATTTATATCTCTGTCAAGAAACGCATCTGCTACAGTAACCCTTCCTTATTTATGAACCATTAGTAGAGACCAAAGTAGTTGTTACACGGACCTTGTGCTGCCACAAAGCAGAGGGGCCGATCCTGCTGGCAGGACACAGCTGGGAAGTGGCTCTGTGGGTGATATCAGTGGTTTGCAGAGTCATGAGGTGGCCAGACCTGCAAGCATCTCCTTCTCGCTGGCAGCCACAGGGCAGGTCCCCCAGCACCCCTTCAACGGCATCACTGTTGCTGTTGCTCTCTGGAGACCTTTCCCATCCGTCTTGGCTCTCCCTTGCTGCCGTATAAGTGCGTTAAGTCTTTCTTACCCTGTCCACTACGGGGTGGTGTCTTCTTCCAGTAGCTCTTCTTAGTTGCCCCTTAGGCTGCTCTCCTCCAATTTAACAAAGAAATTGCATTGGGTATGACATGCTAATGCTGTTGTAAATGAAAGAACATTTGAGGAAATACAGTTAAAATTCAAGTGAAGGTAAAACTAGAACTACAAAATGTTTTGTTCTCTGGGTTGGAATATAGACACAAATCAATATATTAAGTAACTGGGATGGGCTGTCAACAAAGTCTTTGTCTTGGGAGTTCGCGCTGCGCCTGCTCATTTTGGCAGAAAATTCCTCTGTAACTTACAGATTGCTTCATTTTAAATTTTTTTTGGCACTGTAATCAGCAACTGCATTTTGGGTTGCCATTGTTCTCCAGTGCCTGCACCAGTTCCCTCTAACAAGTTTTAAGAAGAAAGATGCTCTGATTTCACATCTCACCAGCTTTGAGAGGAGACTTTGGGGTATTTTTTATTGTTTATATTTTTTTTCATGAGTCACAACCCTGCAATGAATCACGTTGCTTCAAAATGCCCCAACTTTTTATTTCAGAGCTGAATTCTCTGAATTGTCAAAGTTTTATCTGCTGAAATATTTTTCTAATTGCAGAGAAAAAAAAGAGCTTTTTTTCTGCTTTTTACTGGAATCATCAGAAGGAGATAGTGTGCCAGAGTCACTTCTGTTCCTGGCTTGTCGGTAACCAAGTCGAAATGGCAAATCTTCATTACTGCTGCTGCACAAGCTAGGACAAAAAACTTCCTTTGACTTAGCGTTGCAGGCTGAGCGTGCAGCGTTGGCAGAGGTTTTGACTGAGAAGACGATACGCACCCGTAATGTCCCAAGATGCCATTTACAGACCAGGATCGTGCTTCCAAAATACTACCTTATTGCTAGGGATTTGACAATATCTGAAGCATAAGTGGTGTTTTTTGCAGGAGCGGAGTTGCAGCTGTTGCTCCTAAAGGCTACCCTGTATTGCACTCTTCCAGAAGGCAGCTTCCAAACATATCATTACCGCACCAAAGGCAAAGGCTGTAGCCCTCCCCTGGTATCTCTAGTTTCCTGTAAGAAGGAGATAAGTGTTTAGAAGGAGGAAATGTGGTTTGGAAAATGGAAGCAGCTGCTGCAGCCCTCACTCTCGTGTGCTGGTACAGTGCCAGGGAACTGCTTTGCCAGTGGAAGTTCATGGTGTAGCACGGATGAGAAGCCAGTGCTCCTGAGAGATGATTTCTGCTCTAACACGATCCTGTACGCCTTGGAGTGTAACAAATCTTTTGCATTTTTTATTGAAAAAACCCACCACATTTACTTCTACTGACTTCTCCCAGAGCTTCATGCCTCTCCCCCTGGTGTGGGCTCTTCCCACCCAACGTCTGCTGAGCCAAGGGCTAGATCTCCATCCTCCTCCGCTCTCCACCAGCAGTGAGAGGAGCTCGGGACAGCTACCTGTGCCACTTAGGTGCTTTAATTAAGTGCCTGTAACTGGGTGGGATAAATCCTGCCTAGGTAAGTGCTTTCCTCACAGTGTAGATGCAAAGGGTTACGCACCCGTTGCTGCTTGTCAGCATCTCATGGGAGCCATCCCTCAGTGCCTGGGGATCTTCTGCCCCTCCAGTCGGAAAGTTATCGCAGAAGGCATCTCCTGAGGGCACATGAGAACTAATGTGCCAGGAGAGACAGGCGTAAATTCGTGTCCGGGGTATTTTCTGAGCTGCTGTTTTAAATAGGTTACATGTAGCTAGGTTACATGTTGCTTTTTTTCTGCTTTTATATATAAAAACCCTCTGGTAATAACTGCCTGTCCATACTGAGCACTGCCCAGCCGTGTGATGAAGTCCCAGCAAGAAGAATATCTTTTAAAGCTTCATTGCTTCTTTCTCCTACCAGCTTTTTATCCTACCTTTTCCCTTGGCTTGGAGTATCCCATGAAATCCCTGCACATCCAGGGAGCAGCCAGATCAGATCCCTACTTCTGTCAGCATGGTCCAGAGTGTGCTGGACTGAACCTGCTGGTCCTCCTGCAACCTAAGAGGTTTAACCTGGGGTTTCCCCTTGCCCCTGTCAAAAGACATGGGGATGTCTTTGTGAGGTTCAGAGAAGATGTGGGGAAAAAAAGGGCTCACAGCTCCTGTACTTGGCAAGGGGTGAATATCTGTCACTGTTTCCACCGGCAGAGGCAGGGCAGCTACCAGGCGAGCAGCCTCCCGGAGCACAATGCCCCAGCCCTGATGGAGCTGGTGCGGGAGAAGGAGGAGAGGATCCTGGCCCTGGAAGCCGACATGACCAAGTGGGAGCAGAAGTACCTGGAGGAGAGTACCATCAGGCACTTTGCCATGAATGCTGCGGCCACAGCTGCAACGGAGAGGTAAGGTGGCCTTGCTGCAAGCGGGCAGCTCTCTTCACCATGGAAAGCATGGGGGAATAATAAGAAAAGGATATTTTCTTAAGACTGGATTTTGCTTGCCTTTCCCTGCTGAGTTGCGCTGCCAGGGTTAATGTTCCTCTCTGTAGTGTCATGCCAGTGAGATACAATAATTGGTTAAGACAGGATTTACCCTTCTGACCAGGTCCAAAACTTTATCAAATCCATGCACGAGACTCAAGCAGTCTTGGGCTGCCAAATTGTACAGCATAGGTAAGGCAAGTCCTCCCCCACTGCACTGATGGAGCAAGGAGGGACTGTTGGTATATGGCTGCCTCCATCCCATGGTCTGCAACGTGGTTGTTTAACCTAGTTTTAAAAACCTGTAATGAGGGAAGTTTTGTGACCTAATTCCCCTGTTTCACTGCTTCATTAAGTTCAAATGAAAAAGGTTCTCCTGATAGCTAAACTAAACCATTTTACTACAAATTACCTCAATTGATTCTTGTCCTTCCCAGGTGTACATTAGCAACAGATCACTGTTGACAACAGCCTTGTAAATATTGGAAGACAGATAACCCCTGTTGTATCTTCCCTGGCCTGAACTAACTTCCTTCAGCCATTCCTCACGTGTCCTAGTATAAATTCCTTCTTGTTCCCATTGCATTTGCCTGGACTGTCTTGTTTGTGTCAAAGCGTGGTGCCCAAAAGCACACAAAGCTCTGCAGCAAGGCTTTCTAGCGATGACGAGGACAGGATGATTAACTTCTTGCCCCAGTTTCTTAGAAGCCAAATTCCCTAAACACATCCTAAAATCATAGAACCATAGAATGGTTTGGGTTGGAAGGGACCTCAATGATCATCTAGTTCCAACCCCCCTGCTATGGGCAGGGAAACCCTCCACTAGACCAAGTTTCCCAAAGCCCCATCCAACCTGGCCTTGAACACTTCCAGGGATGGGGCATCCACAGCTTCTCTGGGCAGCCTGTTCCAGTGCCTCACCACCCTCACAGTTAAGAATTTCTTCCTAATATCTAACCTAAATCTACCTTCTTTGAGTTTAAAGCCATTACCCCTTGTCCTATCACTACATGCCCTTGTAAACAGTCCCTCTCCAGCTTTCTTGTAGGCCCACTTTATGGACTGGAAGGCCCCAGTAAGGTCTCCGCAGAGCCTTCTCCAGGCTGAACAACCCCAGCTCTCTCAGCTTGTCTTCATAGGAGAGGTGCTCGATTTGCCCTTAATGAAGTCATGTTGACTGTTACTGATCACCTCCTTATTTTTCATGTGCCTGAGCATAGTTTCCAGGAGGATCTGCTCCATGATCTTGTCAGGCACAGGGGTGCGACTTACCAGCCTGTAGTTTTCTGGGTCTTCCTTTTTTCCCTTTTTAAAAATGGCAGTTATGTTTCCCCTTTTCCAGTCAGTGGGAACTTCACCAGAATGCCACAGCTTCTCAAATATGATGGAGAGTGGCTTAGCCACTTCATCTGCCAGTTCCCTCAGGACACACAGATGGATCTCATCAGGTCCCATGGACTTGTGCACCTTCAGGTTCCTTCAATATTCTCGAACCTGGTCTTCTCCTACAGTGGCCAGTTCTTCATTCTCCCAGTCCCTGCCTTTGCCTTCTGCCACTTGGGCAGTATGGCTAGAGTACTTGAAGCTTGAGGCAAAAAAGTCATTGAGTACCTCAGCCTTCTCCATATCCTGGATAGCCAGGTCTCCCGTTTCCTTCCAGAGAGGGCCAACATTTTCCCTCGTCTTCCTTTTATCACTGATGTACCTACAGAAGCGTTTCTTGTTACCCTAGATGTCCATGGCCAGATTTAATTCTGTCAGGGCTTTAGCTTTCCTAACTTGATCCCTGGCTGCTCAGACAGTTTCTCTGTATTTCTCCCAAGCTACATGTCCTTGCTTCCAGCCTCTGTAGGCTTCCTTTTTGTGTTTAAGTTCCCAGGAGCTCTTTGTTCATCCATGCAGGCCTCTGGGCTTTTTTGCCTGACTCTTTTCCTCTTTGTTGGGATGCATCACTCCTGAGCTTGGAGGAGGTGACCCTTGAATATTAGCCAGCTTTCTTGGGCCCCTCTTCCCTCTCGGGCTTTGTCCCATGGTATTCTACCAAGCAGGTCCCTGTAGAAGCCAAAGTCTGCTCTCCTGAAGTCCAGGGTAGTGAGCTTGCTGCGCACCCTCCTCGCTGCCCTGAGGATCCTGAACTCCACCATTTCATGGTCACTGCCATGTCTGCCCTTGAGCTTCACATACCCCACCAGCCCCTCCTTGTTGGTGAGAACAAGGTCCAGCATGGCAGCTCTCCTCGTCGGCTCCTCTGTCTCTTGGAGAAGGAAGTTACCGTCAATGTATTCCAGGAACCTCCTGGATTGTTTATGCCCTCCTGTGTTGTCTCTCCAACAGATATCGGGGTGACTGAAGTCCCCCATGAGGACCAGGGCTTGTGAATGTGAGGATGCTCCTATCTGCCTGTAGAGGGCCTCATCTACTTGGTCTCCCTGGCCAGGTGGCCTGTAGCAGACCCCCACTATAATATCCCCTGTCTCTGCCCTCCCTTTAATCCTGACCCATAAGTTCTCGGTGGGGTTCTCACCCATCCCCAGGCAGAGCTCCATGCACTCCAGCTGGTCGTTGACATGGAAGGTGACAAACCCTCCTCGTCTGACCTGCCTAACCTTACATCCCAGCACTCCAGTCACAGGAGCCATCCCACCATGTCTCTATGATGCCAATAAGATTATAACCCTGCAGGCGTGAAAATGAGATTTGCCTTTGAAATGCAGTTAAATGCGTGACTCAGGATGATCCTTTTCTTTTGCACTCCAGTCTAGGCAGCAATTCCTGTGTTTTTCACCTTCCAAAATGTAAAATTTTGTTTGTCATTTGCAATGTTGTCTTGTTGACTTGGGACCATTTCCCTGTTGAGTGTGTCCCTCTGATGTACGACCTTGCCCTTTAGGATGGTTGTTAGCCCCATGTGGATCACCCACGGGTTTAGTGTGCTCCTGTTCCATCAGCCCAGTTAATGGTGTTAATGACTTAACCCAAGCCAAGAGTAGCCCGCAGCAAGACAACCTAATGCCAGATAGCCATCCACTTGACAGGCAAGCATCACTAGCTTGCTCCTCAAACATGGGTTTGGGGTTTTCTTTGCAAGTGCCAATCTCACTTGCAAAGCCACGTCGCGGTCTCAGGAGCCCAACTCACCATGTTGACCCGCTTTACCAGGGACGCCTCAGCCCCGAGCCACTCACGCAATGGCAGCTACAGTGAGAGCACGCTGGAGGTGCGGGGCTGGCAGGAGGAGGAGGAGATTGTGCAAGCCAACCGGCGCTGCCAGGACATGGAGTACACGTAAGGGGCTGTTGTGCTGTACCTGCTCTTTGTGGGGTTTGGGATGCGTTCAGATAAACCAGGATGCCCCTTGGTTCCTTCATGCATGCCTGGAAAGAATGGGCTTAGCTTTACTTTGACTTAGTTTTGCTCTTCAGCGTTAAAAGAGGGATTAAGGAGTTGCTGCTGTTAGATAACTTCCTCCCTACCTTCCCGTTAAACCTTCTCTGTGCCAAAACCGACCTTCTTACAGAACAGAGGCTGTTCCTCTATTAAAAGTAGGTTGGCATGCGAGGAAGCTGAATGCTTGTTTAATCTCGGTGAAAATCCCCCTCTGGAAACAAGAGCGTCTGGTCGTAAAAGCTGAAGTTGTAATCCCACTCCTACATAATCAGCAACGCAAGGGCTTTGCTTCGCTCTTCGCTCCCTGCCTGCTTATTGCTCTTTCTAGATACACTAAGTTTCCCACATTCACGTTGTGTAATGATCACGTTGGCATTTAAGAACAAACCTGCAAAATTTAGCACCACGAGCACCCCTAAAAAAGATGCATTTACAAGTAGTAGAAGATAAACTTTTTTGGGCACAGGCAGTCAGTGAGAGTAATGTTCGTTGTTGCAGATACTTCTGCATTTTCAGCACACAAGTGGACAGGTAGCCATGGAGTTCAATGAGCATTAGACCTGGGCGGTATTTTTAATACAGACTTTTTTCCTGGTGATGAGTAAAAATCCCTTGAAAAAGTTAATGTATTCCTCTAGACTTTTACTGAAAAACTATTTAAAATCTGTTCTTCAATGTTAGCTTCTGCACAAAAACACCAGTCTGCAGATACTTTCATAAAAAGGTGTATTTGTGGAAAAAACAAATGATTGTTTTTTACTGCATTTGGGTTTTGTTTTCTACTCACAGATGCAAGCTAATCCTGCTTCCTGTGAAGTAATGGAGTTTTGCTTTTGGCTTCATTAAAGATAGATTAGGATCTTGTGGTTTCATTGGAAATTAGACATCTGATTATGAAAACTAACACCATCATGAAGTTACTCTTGAAGCTATCTCCCTTGTACGTAAAGGTTTTCCAGATGCGGCATTTTAGCTTTCACTGCTTCACAAAATGCAGCTGCATTGGACTGTATGTTGTACATCACAGTCAAGCTGTTGTCATCTGGCTGTCATACTGTACATGTACAATTATTTTTTTTTAAATGTGGTTTTGTAGTCTTTCTGTATGATTTGGTGTTAATCATTCCTGAAGAAAAGTCTCAGATAATCCTGTTTTCTTTTGTGATTTGAGAGTCTTCAGGGTCTGTGTGAGAGAAGTAGCGAGCTTTGCTCACTGATTGTTTCTGCAGTGCTGAGGGAGAAGCAAGAGCCCAGTCTAGCTGTTAGAGAAAGCAAAGGGAACCTTTCTGCTCGCTTCAGCAGGTCTTTACTCCAGCTGACCACAGACCCGAATCGTGGGGTTAACTCAGCCTACCAAGGGAGGGTTTCCAGATTTGGCCCCGAGGTATTACGGAGGTGGAAATTGCCTGTGTGTTGGTATTCTGGTGAAGGTGACAATCCACAGCTCAGTCAGGATACTGCCCTCATTGCTCCTGCTGGGTTGGAAAAGCCACAACAATAGATGGGTTCAGTTAACCTTGCAGAAAAGAGTTCCCAGTTTTGGCTTAATAGCCAGAAACACTCCCTGTTTCGAGGTGCATGGTTGTCCTCAGGGGAATTGGTGGGAGTCGCCTTGTCCAAGTCTGCCTGGACGGGACAGAGCAGCAGGGCATGTACCTGGGGACCCATCCTGCTCCCCCAGGGTGGGGAGAGCAGCCTGTTTAAACGCTTCTTCCATTCCTGTAAGCAGAGCGTTCATGTTTTGGCAGAATAAAGAATCTCCATGCAAAAATAATTGAGAAGGATGCCATGATCAAGGTCCTTCAGCAACGGTCACGGAAGGACCCCGGGAAAGCCGACAGCGCCAGCCTGCGACCGGCTCGGTCCGTCCCCTCCATCGCTGCTGCTACGGGTGTGCATTCACGCCAGACCTCGCTCACCAGTAACCAGATAGCTGAAGAGAAGAAGGAAGAGAAGATCTGGAAGGGAAGCATAGGTGAGCTCAGGTTTTGGTTAAGCTTTGTCTCATCCATCACTTCATCCTGATCCTTTTGCTTGAGCTTTGCAGAAGTGTCCTGGCTATGGCACACGTTGCCACAATGGCTCTTTCCATGGGAAGAACATTTGTCCTTGTGCTGAAGTAAAAAATGTCATTTTTTAACCTTGCATTGTATCTTAATTATATTTTTAATCAACTTAATCGTTCTGTACTCATTATAGAAAGCCATAATCAGGGGAAATCCTCCCAGACACATGCAGATGATATTTGTAACTTTGTGGGACTAAATAACAAATTTGGGCTAGAAAAAATTCCTGGATAAACAAGAGGGTGAGCATCCCTTTGGGTAGGAGTGCATGATGCGATGTGGCAGCTAAATGGGAAAATGATTGCAGGACTGTGGTGAGGGGCTGCATGGCACGAGGGCTGCAGAGGCATGCAAGTCTGTGCCAGGGGTAGGTACCACTGCGATGGGTGTGCAGAAGGGGATGCAGGAAAGGGCAGCTGCTCTCAAAAGGTTGTTTTTGTAGGAAAGTACCACATGGATGTCAGGAGAAGAGCAGCAGACGGTGTCAAGGGGAAAGGCTAAGCTGAACTAAAAGGCCGGAGACATACCCAGACCAGCACCTTGTAGCTCTGGGGTGGGATGAGGGGACAGCACTTACGTTCCAGCCAGGATGTGACTGACCTCCATGTATTTTCAGGGCTGCTCTTGGGGAAGGACCACCATGACCACCCATCGGGCCCCTCGCTGCCTCCTCCACTGCCCTCTTTGTCCTGCATGCCTGTCCTGGTGCCGGCGGTCTCCCACGCGAAAACGGGCAGCAAAGACAGCAGCACCCAGACGGACAAAAGCACTGAGCTCTTCTGGCCCGCTGCCGCCTCTTTCCCCGGCCGTGGACGGCTGGGTACCACCCCGTCACACAGCCCGGCCCCACGGCCCCCAGGGACACGAATGGCCGGCGAGAAACTGGGTGAGCTCCACCAGATCCCCACGTTGGTGCAAAATGCCAGCACGCCCAGGGCTGTCAGCAGATCCCCAGAGACACCCCAGTATTGATGGGGGGGGGTGGTGATACCTTTGCAATTTGTGTGGAGGTTTCTTCAGGGAAACTAAAATCATAGGGAGAGAACTTTCCAAGCCTGGTCTGGCTTTGCAGAGCTTCATGCTTGACAGCTTCTGTAAAGTTCCGCTTGCCTGCGGTGGGCAGAATTTCCAACAAATGCAATTATTCATGCTGCCAAAGATAAAATTACAGAGTTTCACACTCCACACCTGCTCACATACTCAGACCCTTCTCTTTTTTCAGCTTAATCTATGGTTAGTGAAGGCACCATTTTCTCTCTATATTTTAAAGGAAACCTGGGGGGAAATAGTAAGGAGAAAGTGGAGATTTTGGGAGGAGGGTTGTTAAAGAAATACAATTTTAATTATTTTGGAAAGGTGGAAACTGCTAGTTTGCAGTCTTAGCAAGGGAGACATTTACTTTACACACATTATTTTGAAAAAGTCAGTTTCCTACACATTCATCTTGTCTCAAAAGCAAGCCTTCCCTCAAAAAACATGCGATGTATCATTAATAGGGCTGACTATCACTGATTCCTTGAAACTCTGGGTTACTGTGTTTTGGGCAATCCAGATTGGAATTTATTTCCAGATACTCTTACCTTTCAAGAAATACCTTTCAAGCTATTTCTGCCTTTAAGAAATTAGAGTCCTCCTTCTCCCTGAAATTGACTTTCAAGAACTATGGTGATAAACATAGCTAACAGCTAACATCATCTATCATACATTGTGATAATTGGCCATATACATTCTCTTAGCCCATCCCACTGACAAAGTAACACATTTTAGATTAAACCATCTACCTGATTATTTGTGTACTGCCCTCATGATGTTTTAAACTCCTAAATTTTGTACCTGATGCAGAATAGGACCATACATACGGAGAGCTACCATGGCTCAGATGACAAGGAGCAACTTGGTAAAGTGATGTAGACCTTTCACAAATGCCCATTTCTCTCTAGGATCACAGCTGAAGAGGTACTTTGGTCTGTATCTCTTAAATACCATCTTTATGCCTGCCCTTGGGGTCTGTGCACACTGTCGTTGCGCAGGGAATTAAGCATGACATGTTCTCTGCCTCCTGATTAAATTTTACTTTCAGTATGTAGGACATAGACTTAAGATGTGCTCCACCACCACCCCAAAAATGGTTTTAAATTTGCATGGAACAATTTGCTGTTGAATTTGAGCTGAAAATCAACTTTCCCTTCTTCTTGTTGCAGAAAACTCAAGCCACGGGAAGCTGCCTGACAGCAAAGGCAGAGTGAGCAGCTTGCTCCACAAGCCCGAGTTTCCAGATACGGACATGATGGAAGTCCTCATCTGAGCAGAGGACGGCATCTCTGGGGTTTTGTGTGCATACAGCCAGGTCCAAGATGGTCCTTTGTGTGCCAAGCTTAAAAACTAACCCTGAGAGTTTGAAGAAAGATAGAGAAAGTTTTTGCCCAAAACGAAGCTTGAGTCTGATATGTTGAGACTTTGGACCAGGCAAGAAGTTTAGAGCGCTGAAGAGGAGCGATGAAATGAACATCTGGGATTTTCTGAGCAGAAAGGGGAGTTGAAAATGGAAAGTGGCGTGAAAAGGGGATCATTGAGGGAAAAGAAAACTGCATTTTCTGGTGTAAAGAGAAGGTAGCGAAGTTACAGACTGGGTGTGAACTGCTGCTCTGTTTTCCTGCCTCTCTGCAACCGGGACAGGGAGTGAAATCCCGGCTCTTTTGAGGCAGAGGGAGTTTCTGAATAACCCAGGATAAACTTGCATCTTCCTCAGTATCAATTCACTTCTCAAAAGTATTCACTGCTTAATTTTGGTCTGTAGATGTACACGGCGGGTTCTTGTCAGTATTTGTTTGAAGTGGTGTGGTGTGGTTTTCCTGGGCAGGCAGGTCAGGTGCCTTTTTCCTGGCTGGACAAGTGTTGCTCTTGGAGCTGGATTTACAATGCAAATATTCCGGTCTTGCAACCTCAGAGCTTGCTGAGACTTCTTTTTTTGGTAGGAGCAGTTGTTGGCTGGAATTCCCATGGAGGGTGAAAGTAGAGGCGGGGGAGGAGGACCCTGCTGAAGCAATCCCTTTTGTAAGGATGGGAAGCTTTCAGGAGGGAAAGTCCGGGAAGGATCCTGGCAGCTCCCCAAAGGGCTGTGTGGTGCAGAAGCTCATTCAGAGGACGTTGCATGGGTGCATTTCTAGTGGAGTTAAGCTGGGCTTGCATGTGAGATCGGGAGATGCCTTTAACTGTGCCACTGGTTCATAGTAGTGGAAGAATCAGTGTGTTTGTGGTAAGAACAGGATTTTTCCTTATTTTCAGTGCCTACAGCCAACTCCTACCATCCTTCAGCATACAAACCTGCCATTCAAGCTGATCTGGGACTGGACATTAAGGGGTGTAGGATCAGGCTGGGAAGGGTTTAACTGCAAAGCAAAGCATGAGCGTCATCTGTTTTCTGTGCTGAGCTGCAGCTGCTTTTCACCTTGTTTTACCCAGGATGGAACATTTCCCATTTTCAGCTTAGTCCCTGAATTCTGTAGAGGTGGCGGCTGTAAGAAAGCCACCTCACCAGCTGTTTTAATCATGGCATGCTATTTGCTTCATGCATTGCACATGCCGATTGGGAAATTTTTCTTTGAGGTATTTTTGTATTGGCTTTGGGAAAAGGGGTGATGAGCTTTTATGTGAAGCTGCCTAGAGTAAAAAACTGATGGGTGCTGGAAGTAACCATGTGCTCAGAGCTGGCTCAAGGTCACCCCTTCCTATAGGTATTGGATCAGAGCCCTTGATTGTGAAAATACCAGGCACTTTAAACTCTGCTTTCGACTGAAAACTGAAGTCCTTGCAACCTCAAAAAGCCTTCAGGGCCAGAGCCCTGCGCTAAATACTGCCTGGCTGATACATTTTTTTTTTTTTTTAATTGTTATGTTAAATCTATGCACTTATTTTTGCATGTACATAGAATTAGACATACGCTGGTGTCGCCCACTTTCTGATTTTTGCACTTGTTAAACTAAGTAGTGGTAGGTAGGTTGTGCGGGCAAGTGAACTGTGTGTTTCGAGTATTAGCAGCTTTGCATTGTGAAACCAAATGTGTAAAACCCTTGGAAGATGTTACGCCGCTTAATATATGCTTTGTAAAATAATTTTATTTTTTTCTCTAAAGTTAATTTAAAGGTTGTAACTGTTTGCATAAAAGCCGGGTTCACGCGTGGCAGCAGCGCTGACCCACTTCTGTCGCCCTTCCTCGAGTGTCTGTGGTGGGAGCGGGGCAGGAGGAAAAACAAGGGAATACAAGTAAAACAACAGTGAATATTTAATTTCATCACTTCTCTCCAAGAAATAAGGTTACCCAGGTGCTTGGAAGTCCCTAAGCATTTTATTACCAGCTGTATTATTTCTTTTGATGAAACTATTTAATAATTTGTGTACAGGCAGACAGCCAGGCGTCCAGCAGAAAGTGTTGGATCAGTGTGCGTGATGTGGCTTGCGGTTACGTTTGGTAGTGGTGCAGCTCAGCTTCTCCAAGTCAGCTGGAGTACAGCACTCTTTCTCCTCCTCCTCCTGGGGGAGACCACAGTCCCTCCAGTTTCTGGTATCCCAAGGTGTGTTTACAACCGATGCTGCCCTGGGTTCATGGTCACGTATAGGAAACTGTTTGTTAGAGACTACGGTGTAGGCAACCTCTCATTTGCTTTTGGAGTACCAGCTCAAATAAACTCAAAGATGTATTCTGCTAATTATGTTGAATTCAAGAGATGTTAGTTTTCCTGGAGGGAAGTTCTGGAGGACCAGCGGGTCTCCCCCCAGCCCGAGATCTAGCAGGACTTGCGTGGAGCACTACTGCCATAAATCAGTCCCTCTCAGTAGAGCGGTGCAACTCCATTTGTGCTGGTTTTCCCAGCTCTTTGAACCATTTTCTGTTTTGGGAAACTGTGCTGTAGCCATTCCAGGTGACATTGGTAACTAGTTGTAAAATACTGTCATTTTTTGTTGTCGTTGGTTGTATAGAGAAGTTGGTGTACAGTGTTGTACAGCTGGAGGGTTATTTGTACATAGGGGGGGAAATGAAGAACGTTATGTGTCACCCACAGCAAATATTGATATTGTTGGTCAGCCAAAGATTTCTTATTCTTTGCTGTTTAAACTTGTGCCTTAATATTGTATATAATAAATGTATAAACATGTTTCTTTTCTCACTTTTCCAGTGTGAATATATTCAGTCCCCCAGAAAAAGGACTTTTTAAACAATCCTCTAAGCTTTGCACACAACATGCTAAGTGATACCTCGGGGACTTTAAGGTTGCCTCTCCTCTGCTTTTCGTAGCTGTTAATGAAAGGCCCCACAGCAGGTGCCATCAGTAGGTGTATGTGGGCATGAAATCAGTGGTTCTGCAAAGCAGAGAGTCACACTGAGAGCTTTGCCAAGCAAGGAGAGCAGGATTTTAGTGAGATCATCTTCGCCTGAAGGAAATGAGGGTGGAAACTTCGGTGAAGATCTGAAGATCCTTTAGCCCTACATTCCAGCTAAACATAGCACTCCCATTGATTTTTATTTTGTTGTTGTTGTTGTTCTTGAAGGTCTAGGGCTTCTTTATTTGACAGGTGTTGGATCAGTGTGAGATTGCTAAATACCTTGTAGATCTGGATATTCCTGAATTAGTCTAATGTCCTCAGTAAGGAATAAAGATCAGATCCCATTTCAAGCTGTTGTGCAGGCAAGGAGAGTGCTCCAGCCCAGTGGAAATACTGCTCCTGTGTTTGCTCATGCAACTGAAATAAACGGGGGGAGGGGAGCAAACGTTACCCAAGTGTCTGGCTTTGAGTAAGGGAGGTTTGCTCAGCAGGCTCTCACATGCTCTTGAAAGTGTCTGTTTGAAAATTCCTGAATCAGGTCCCAGGGAGCTGCAGGCATGAAAGGCATGAAAGCCACTAAGGGCATCTCTCTCCTATGGGTTCTCCTCTGCCTGTCCCAATCTCCTCTCCCCAAATTCTCGCACACGTTAAAAAAACCACCTGCCCTGGGCAGGAGTGTGTCAGCAAAGATCCAGGGGCTTTGCAGAAACTCGAGCAGTGTTTTGCTTCACCCACATCCCAGCACCTCATGTTCCCCATGCAAGCACAGGTCAGCCTGACCCATCTGATTACTTCATCTTCAAGGCATAGCAGCTGGAAGTATTTGTAGTGCCCTGGCTCTTTACCACCAAGAACAAAAATTTGGTGATTGCTGAGATTGTGACTTTTCAAGTTTCTTCAAGTTGAGATTTGACAGTAAAATTTGGGTCTTAGCTTGGTTCATCAAGGCCATGAGAGAAAAGAAACTAACAGAGGCCAAACCAGTATTAGGGTGGGAAAAGCCTCATTGCCAGCTGTGTTCAGGCATAACAAGGAGGGGTTTTATCTTATTTTTGGGTTGTGTCTTCACAGATGCTCCAGCCAAAAACCAAGAACGTCACTGTAACGCTGTCTCCAGGTTAAGTACACTTTGCATATTAACCTCAGGAAAAAAATATGCAAAGTATCATAGAACCATAGAATGGTTTAGGTTGGAAGGGACCTCAATGATCATCTAGTTCCAAGCCCCTGCCAAGGGCAGGGACACCCTCCACTAGACCAGGTTGCCCAAAGCCCCATCCAACCTGGCCTTCAACACTTCCAGGGATGAGTTATCCACAGCTTCTCTGGGCAGCCTGTTCCAGTGCCTCACCACCCTCACAGTAAAGAATTTCTTCCTAACATCTAATCTAAATCTACCTTTTTGTAGTTTAGAGCAATTACCCGTTGTCCTATCGCTACATGCCCTTTCCATCTTTCCTCTAGGCCCCTTCAGGTACTGGAAGGCTGCTATAAGGTCTATCTTGATTCTTCTCTTCTCCAAGCTGAACAATCCCAACTCTCTCAGCCTGTCCTCATAGGAGAGGTCCTCCAGCCCTCTGATCATCTTTGTGGCCTCTTCTAGACTCGCTCCAACAGCTCCATGTCCTTCTTATGTTGGGGGCACCAGAGCTGGATGCAGTACTCCAGGTGGGGGCCTCACAAGAGCAGAGTAGAGAGGGAGAATCACCTCCCTTGAGCTGCTGGTGACGCCGTTTTTGATGCAGCCCAGGACACAGTTGGCTTTCTGGGCTGGAGGCACACATTGCCAGGTCATGTTGAGCTTCTCATCCACCAGTACCCCCAGGTCCTTCTCTTCAGGGCTGCTCACAATCCATTCTCCACCCAGCCTGTAGTTGTGCTTGGGATTGCACTGACCCACATGCAGGACCTTGCACTTGGCCTTGTTGAACTTCATGAGGCTCGCATGGGTTCACCTCTCCAGCCTTGATCACATCCCTTCCCTCCAGGAAGGATGCTGCCAGGTGTC